AAACCAACTCAAAAAATAGTAAGATTTCCATTTCTTGCAAATTTGGATATATGTATATGAGAAATTAAGTTTGAATTTTAATCTACAATATTTAGGAAACTTACAGGGCAGATTTTCCTGTACGGGGATCTATATAGGTGGTTGTTCTTCTATTGTGATCCACAAAATAAGGAATTCCATCCACTGTGAATCTCATTTCCCAGCCTTCAGGTAAGGGCTTTTCATTTAACTGACTAAAAAACATAGAGAAAAAGTTTAAATATATAAAAATATTAAGGAGCTGCTTCTTTGGCAAGTACAGAAACTAAAAATACCCATAAATATAGTAAAAATTATTTCGGAAAAGTACATGTCCTATACTTTCAATTGTTTACTAGACATCCCACAAATACACTAAACTCATCATTACTGTCTCAAAATTAAAAATCATTTGTCATTTCAGTCTCCCACCATATTTTTCCTTATGTTCCCCCATCTCTACCTAATAACTCACCTTAAACTTGTCATGGTTACTAATTAAGCTCTACTCATTCTGCCTTAAAAATCTTCGCATTCTACTAATTTTTAACCTGCAATACCATTTTCTTTCATCTGAAGTTTCTCAACACCTATCTAATGGGTTTTCCTACCACTAATCTCAATCTGGCCCTACATGTTAAAACTGCTTATCTTAAACAGAGATCTCATCTACTTAGTTCTCCCTTTAAAGTGCTATCATCGTTCCATCAACAATAAGATCTAAACTAACTGGCAACAGTAAGATCTAAACTCCCCCATGTGGCATTCATTCAACTGCTATCCTCTGGCTTCAATGTTCCACTTCAGATTGATCTCTGGACCCATACAGGTGACTTCATTCCATGAATCCTGTGATTTCATGTCACATGGCTCAATACTTCCCTAAACAGAACATGATATACAGCATCTCCAAATGAAGCCTTTCTCTTTGTCCCAAATCTTTATTCTGTTACGGGAACTCCAAAGTTCTTTATGAATTTTTCCAATGTACTTCTTCTAGACCTATTTATATACTATGGAAATTTTATAGTATGGGCAATGTGTTTAGACTCTCTACACCAGTATCTTTACCCATAAAACAGAGGAAATGATTTCATGTAGAAAGACTATCTGAGGAATGAGACAAAAAGTTTAACTCAAACTAAGCCCTAAGATTTTAACTATTATTATTCTTTCTCGTACTACTACAGATTCATTTTCTTCAGGTATCTCAAAAATCTTTCTATA